AAAACCGATCCAAAAAACCGAAAACCATAAAAAACCGAAAGTTATTGGTTGTGTTTGGATGTTATTTTATGAAAACCGATCGGTTCGGATTGGATTTCGGATGAATTTTTCAAAACCGATCCAAACCAAACCGAACCGCATAAATATATTTTGATACTTATTTACTTTTTATTAGTATGACATGTTATGTGAATTTATTATTAGATGATAATAATTTTTTTAATAATATTTATTAGTTTGGTATAATCTATTTATTTTTATTATTTCAAGCATAATCAATCACTCTCATTTTGTAATATTAACTTTTAATATACTATATGTTATATATTATATCAAATCTATGATTTATTAGTAGTTTTATAATATTAATAAAATATAATGTGTAATTTGGATATTCAAAAACCGATCCAAATTAAACCGCATAAAATTGGATCGGATCAGATTGGATTTTTTTAAATATATCATCCAAAACCGAACCGAACCTTAAGTGAATTAATCTTTGGATCGAATGAGTTTTTGCTTTAAAACCAATCCAAACCGAACCGCGAACACCCCTAGTTGATTTCGTGTTGATTACTGTTACTGATTTTTTTTACCATTTTTCATTTGGGGAAGATGAAGTAGGGGTGGAGCCCACACGAGGATCTCCTCACACTTCCTTCATTGCTCGTAACACTCATGCCTTTTTTAAATTATTTTATTTATTTTTATTTCACTTTTCATTTTTGTTTTATTATATAGTTAATTGATTAAATTTGGTTTTTAATTAATTAATTTTGTTAATGAAATTTAATTAACTTGACAATTTGATTGAGTTAATTTTTAATCAATTAGTTTTGATAATTAATTCTAATTAGTTTAATTATTTGATTTAATCAAACTTTAATAAATTAATTTTATTAATTAAACATTAATCCACTTGTTTATTTGTGAATCTCTTGGCGGACTTTAAGTTTTTTTCCTTTTTTCTTATTTTGTTTTCCCAAGTGACAAATGTACCTCCATCTTTTGATTGTACCTATGCATCAAGCAAGTAAATTTCAAAATAAATGTGAGTCAAACGCTTGGTCAATACTAAGTTTTCTTTTCCCAATTAAATCATAAAAAAATGTTTAATATATTTTCTTAATTAAAGTTGGATGAAAAACGTTCAAACTTTAATAAATTAATTTTGTTAATTAAACATTAGTTCACTTGCTTATTTGTGAGTCTCTTGGTGGGTTTTAAGCTTTTTTTCTTTTGCCTTATTTTGTTTCCCCATGTGACAAATGTACCTCCATTCTTTGATTGTACTTCTATATCATTTTCTTTTGATTCTTTTTGGTTAGTTAGATTAATTGAATTAATTAAATAACTTGACCACCTAAAATTAACCTTTTAAAAAGATAAAATACTTGATCAACATCAAGCCGATTTTTAAAGTAAATTTCAAAATAAATGGGAATCAAACGCTTGATCAACACCAAGTTTTTCTCTCTCGAATAAATCATAAAAAAACATTCAATATCTTTTCTTACTTAAAGTTGGATGAAAAACGTTCAAACTTTAATAAATTAGTTTTTTTTTTAATTAAACATTAATTCACTTGCTTATTTGTGAATCTCTTGGCGGGCTTTAAGTTTTTTCTTTTGCCTTATTTTGTTTCCCCATGTGACAAATGTATCTCCATTCTTTGATTGTACTTCTGTATCACTTTCTTTAAATTATTTTTGATCAGTTAGATTAATTGAGTTAATTAAATAACTTGACCACCTAAGATCAGCCTTTTAAAAAGATAAAATGCTTGATCAACATCAAGTTGATTTTCAAAGTAAAATTCAAAACAAATATGAATCAATCGCTTGGTCAACACCAAGTTTTCTTTTCCTGATTAAATCATAAAAAACATTCAATATATTTTCTTAATTAAAGTTGGATGAAAAAAGACGAGATGTATGTATGTCCTATCTTTTCCCCAAGTATTTGGGTGCTTGTTGTATAACTTATCGCTTGACTCCCGTCTTCATTCAAAAAACGTAATAAACATAATCAAATGCCACAAGCCCTAAGTGGTGAAGAAGGAATAATTGGACGTATGTCCCTTTGTTTCAAAGGACGCCTGATGTATAACTTGATGTTTCGAACGCTCACCTTCATTCATGGATTTTAATTTGATTTTATTCAAACACTTTCTACAATAAAAGGGATTAAAAAGGATTAGATGAAAATATGTCCTACCTTTTCCTTGAGTATTTGGGTGTCTGTTGTATAGTTTGCCTTTCGAATACTCGTCTCCCGCCTAAAATCAATCTTAACCAATCAAACCTTTTTTTTTCGCGTTAACGCGACTCCGAAAATATTTTCTTAAACGAATGATACTTTATCAATTTTGATGTGAAGCTCAAACTAACACTTCTTTATTCTCATGTGTAAGTAGTTAACAATATTTTCTGCTCGAGTGTGTTTAAAACACAATTTGTGAGAACTCGGATCTTGTTTTATCCATTCTAACAGGACGGCCTCACATATTCCCTACTTCTATGACTGGGTAACTAACAATGTTTTTCCGCTCAAATGCGATATAAGAATATTTTGCTAAAATCAACCAACCCACAAACATTTGCTATCTAAAACTACATAGCCTTGAGTTCCCCATCGCACCTAGAAGTACGTAGGAGCAAGATTCAACGTCTCGTCAGACACACTACTAAAAAACCTATAAAATGTCCCTTTTGTCTTCTCTTGTAAATATTCCTGCAATAAGTAGAAGATCGTAAGTAACATATGCTGAAATTCCTTCACAAAACTAACTAAATGAGTCCCGTTAAGTACAACGGATGTGAGATGTGCTAATACCTTTCCCTCGCTTAACCGACTCCTAAATCTTAATTTGGTTGCGATGACCATTTGTCATTCTTTAAGGGTTATATCAATATTTTCCTTTCCTTTTAAAATAAATAGAGTTCAGTGACAACTCTGTTGTATTTCAAGCTTCTTCTGTCGCCCCGCCCTTGTTATGGGTTTTCTCGATGGGAGTGGAATTTTTAGGATCTAGAGAGGCCACCGCCTCCTCATCCACCAACTGACCATCACATACGACTTAGAGGAAATCTATTTGACTCAGATCCAAATTGGGGTAGAGGAAGGAAACCTACTTTTTTAACGCACTCAAAGTATACCCCAAAAGTAGACGCCACCTCACCGATAAGCTCTAACACCTCCTTCTCTAATTCCTTTTGGCGAAGAAGGGCGGTGTCTAAGGATTTTTGCAAGAATTTTTTCTCAATGGAGATCTCTTTAGTCTTAGCCTTCACATCCGCCATCTTTTTCTCTCACTTGCCCTTGTTTTTATGGAGGGCCTTTAACAACCTTTGGATCTCAATATAGGTGTCCACATGCTTTTTGAGCTTCACCTCCAGCTCTTTCTTAACCTTGTCTTGCCTATACTGGTTGACATCTTGCATCATGAGCACCCTCAGTAGAAGGTTATTTTTCATGCTTACAATAACATAGGTCAATTTAGAGCGAAGAATTTGATAGTTAGCAGAAAACTCCTTGGAGAAAGGAAGACGAGAACTCTTAAACAGAGAGTGTCAAATCCGACATCGCTCCATAAAGTAGCAGGAGATGTGCGAGTCTTTCTTGGGGTAGGTGCTTGAGTGATTGCCTCCCTAGAAGTAGGAAAGACAGTGTTAGCAACAGAAGAATAACCCACATAAAGTCTTTGAGCCTTTACGTTGGGCGAGTTTGGAGTCAGGTCCTCAGCTTGCCTTTGAGCGTTTACATTTGGGGATTTTGGAGCCTTTTAGTTGAAAATAAAATGAAAGGGTCTGATTTTAAAGATGTCACGATCACAACGGTTTGTTTGATAATTGTAGTAAAAAGATCACCATAAAATGTATTATTTATAGTAATGAATACCCTTAAAACTTAAAAATTCAACAATTGTATAAAAAATAAAACAAATAAGAATTAAAAAAATTATGAATACAAATCCACACCAAATTGTAGAGTCATTACAAATCACATTTGAGAATGAAAAAGTATGAAAAAAAAGATAAGGACATTTAAATTCTGATATGCAATAAATAGTAAGAATAAGAAAGTTTCAAAGAAAAGAAAAGACAAACAAAACAAAGTTGTAGAAAATTGAGTAAATTTTTATTAAAAAAGAAAAGAAAAAAAGAACGAAGAATAAAATAAAACACGTCTAAACCCACACAAAGTTGAAGCGCAATTTAGATGTGGATGACTGAGTCGTGATAAAATATTAAATTTGAAATCCATTTTAGACAAAAACGCTCTTATCTGTCATCGCCAAGTCAAACACCCAGCAAATGAAATTGTGTTGCCGCTAGGAATAACGATGAATAGAGTTTGAGTATGATAATATTATATTATCCGTTTCTATAGTTACAGTTTGAAAAATCTCCATATCCGGGTCCATACTTGCGTAAGCACCAACTTTTATACTCATACATGTATTTTATGGATACTTAAATAGCAACATCCGTAAATGTTTATCTATATTTTTAATAAAAAATTATCGATCAATTATAATTTATCAAGTCATTTTAAAATTTTAACAATATTTAAAAAATTCTAAAATATCATAGTTGAATTAAGAAATAAAGAATTTTTTTATTAAAACATGTACAAATTTAATAGCGATATATTTAATAAAATGAATAAATATATAGATAAAATAGATATATTTAATAGACAAAAATGCTCTTATCTCATGTTATCTGCATTCATACTTATTTTTGTGAGTGATTTTTTTTGAAGATATCCAATAAAAATGGGTAGAATTGTAATCCCCAGCTGTTAACTGGTGCCGTGTTCCATTATGTTTGTTCTGAGACCTCGAATTTTCTTTTATTATTTGCAAAAATACACCTAAAATTATAATAATTTCAAGTTTGATCCTCCATAATTGATATTCGTCTTTCGCTAACAACATTGCATCTCATAACAGAAAAACACAACCCACTTGAATCTGGTCTCCAATCGCGATTTTTATGGGAAAATCCGTTGAATCTATCTTCACAAAAGGAATAACTCGCTTTGTCTCATCTTCAAAACCCAACAGACACAAAATAACCCAACCCATATCACCGAACCGGGTCACCACCACTCCACGACCCCCAAAACCAGACCTCACTTTTAAGATGGAATCGCCCAAGAAAATGGACGCTATCGAATGCCGAACGCCTCTCGCCAGTGTTGTCGCCTATTGCGCTAAGCGGTGGTTCCAAGACACACTCAAGGAGGCCAAAGGTGGTGATACCACCATGCAAGTTCTCGTTGGTCAAATGTATTACTCTGGATATGGTGTTCCTAGAGATCCTCAAAAGGTTTGATTTTTTTTTGTTTGTTTGTTTAGGTTTTTCAATTAATTTGTCGATTACTAACCCTAATTATTGGTTCTAGAATTGTTATCATACTGTGTTGCAAAATTTGTTTATAGGGTCATGCTTGGATTACTAGAGCATCAAAAAGTAAAAATTCAGCTTGGAAAGTAAGCGAAAAACAGCCGGGTAAGTAAAGATGCTCTCTATCTTATGTTCAAGTTACTGAAATATGGTTTTGTATGTCGTGATTTTTATTTATGTTGTTTACATACAGGTTATAGAGCAAGTGATTCTGATTCATGTGATTTGGAGAACAATACTACCTCGTAGTTTGCAAGTATGATGGTAATGGTTAGACGGAATCAACGCATTTTTGAATTCTATAATAAAGCATATGATAACTTTTTGGCACTAATGCTTGTGCTTATTTACTTTGGCATCTCAAACATTAGTTGAATCTTGTTAACCGACAAATCGGATAAATAAGCTGAAAACAACTTATGCACATGTCATAATTTGTTTTTGTAAGTTCTCCCAAGTAATTTAACTAGTGTTTATGTCAGCTGATAAGTTATGATAAGTCAATTCAAACAGACGCTAAGTGTCAATCAGCTGGGTGTTGCACCTATTTTGGTTGTTGCTACAATTAGTATGAAAAGTTACCCGGTAATAACTTTGGAGTATGATTAGTATTTCAATGTATTCAGTATGACGAGCTTTAACCGGTATGGTCATTGTTATAAGCCATTAAGGGAGATTTAGGTAACTGGGCGTTGACATTTATTTTGAGTGTTATATGTCTAACTCAATTAATCACAAAGTGTATTGGTGACCTGATAGTGCTAAGTAAGACTCATCATTCTGAACTATTGAACGGTGAGCACCAACAAAGTGATATTGGAGTGTAATTGTCTCGTAGGATGTGAAAGATGGTGATTGAGGAATGTACCCCCATTATATTTGTTGAAGTTGTATTGGTTATGTTGAAGTTGTGTTGGAACCTCCTACATTGCTTAGGTTCCCGGACGGTTGGGTGTATAATTGTGTTTAGGCAACCCCACCCTTTGAGCTAGCTTTTCGGATGAGATCCAAGCTCATTAAACAATATTGGTAAGCTACTATTTACATATAAACTGTATAAAAACAACGCCCATAATGAAAGAGTGAAGACATATTCCTTTATAATTCGTTATAGAGTAGTCAATAGCAACGCCATCCCGCTATAGCGGAGTGGAGCGGAGGCCGACAGCTATGGGAAGAGCCTTAGCGGTGGAGAACACTACAGCGACTGCTATATGGTAAATAGCGGGATAGCGGAGCAGATCGGTTCCCAGCTCGGAGCGGTTTCTGGCCCGCGATCGTTTTCCCCTCTAAAAAACCAAAATCACCCCTTAAATTTCCAACATTTTAAGGATAATTTTAGGTTTTTCAGTAAATTTTGAGTTGAGACTTAACCTTAACCTTTCTTCGTACTAGTATATGCACTTCAAGAGTCTTGTGTGCTTTGATTTATGAATATTTTATGAGTTGAGTTATTTGATTAATTTTACATAAAATATATGTTTAGAATTATTATATGTTATTTGTCCAAAAAATTATCAAATAGAGTGGTCACCCCGCAATATGCCATCCCACTTTTGGGATCGACCACTCCGCGCCTCTATCAGGGAATGACAACATAACAGGGTGATAAAAGAGAGCTGCAACTGAAATGAAGGTGTGTGAAGCCATTGATCAATGAATGGACTCAAACTCATGAGGGTGGACAAGATGGACAGAGGCTGCTTGCTTCAAACATGTACGGTGTTGGGGAATGCTGTTGTGATTTTGATTGCAAATTGCTGTGTAATAGACTCAATGTATGAAAATGCTGCACTACATACATTCATCAGTGGTCAAAGGCGATGGCTCATGCATGGCGAAGTCATAGCAAAATGATAACTATGTTTGTGATAACAAATGCTCAAATACTTGTAGGCTTGCTTGCTACTGATTCTAAGAGAACCTCCAACAGAGGTTTCTAAAGCTTAGTTTGTCAGCATGGACAGGATAAGAACCAACTTGTTCTTTACTGGATTTGATCGCTTCTTTCTTTAAGTTTTTGAACCAGTTTGTCCACATAACCAAGAGAAAATATGAATAAGTGGAATAAAAAACTATAAAAGTGGGTTAAATTGTTGGACCCATTTCGAGTTCTAGAGATTTCACTATTGGAGTAAAAAATAAGAATTGCTAAAAAGCAACCCAAATTGGTTTTGCCGTTGCAGATGCTCTAAAGGCTCAGAGCCCTGTTAAATGAGACTCTAGAAAAGTCTAAATTGCGATGTGCTTTACTTTTAATTTGACTATTGCCTTTTAGAATGCTATTACTTAGCTTTGAGCAGCATTGCCCTAATATGCTTTTGTCTCTTATAAACCGGACACTTTGTAAGTAATCCTTTGGCTTAGCATATGATTCTTCATTTTTGTAGTGACTTGTTGGGCTCAACAACTTAACACTCTTTCTAGTTTTATAATATATAAAAAGCTTGATTTTTTTATTTCTAATAATGTAGACTGCATCTCTCATTACGCTATCTGTTCCATTTGTTGCAATCGTAAGTATTTCTACTTCTATGTGCATTTCTCTGCAAATGTAATTGTAATCTTTGACACGTTTCTTTTTTCTTTTACAGAAAAGTGTCCTTAACTCTCTTCACATAATCTCTGCCGGTGCTGCATTCATTAGTCATTACTGCCTTGTTGACGCAGAGGAAGTGTTTGAAATCTCTGTTTGAATTTGCTGCATTGTGCAGCTAAGTATTAGCATGCATGTCCCTTTATACAAACAACTATGTCTTTCAATTTTGTAAAATAAACTTTTTGTATTCTATCATATGTAACTACTGGTGTAGCCGTACATATTGACTGTATCAAATGCTTTAGATCAACTTTCTATGTATGAGAGTATTTTTAAGAATTATGGAAGGTGTTTTATGAATTATGAAGAGCAAGAAAAAGCTCCTCTTAAATTATTTTCAACATTACATCGTTATCCTTAAGAGATAATCAAATGAAATTGCTGATATTTTAACTAGGGTTGCTTCATTTTAATCATTCTCAATTTTTTAGTATGATAATTCAAATGTATTTCTACATGGTTTGATAGTAAAATGAAATGATCTTTCTTTCATGAAAAGAAAAAGTTGATTTGTGAGAGTGAGTGAGATCAACTATGTTTTTTGACTTCTTAGTCTTTGAAAAAATTATATATATATATATATATATATATATATATATATATATATATATATATATATATATATATATATATAGTGTGATTCGGGCGGCAATACAATATGAGGTTTATTTTTTATTGAAAAACTTCATTATCTTTGTAACACTTTCCAATACTTCAATTTTCTTCTTTACTAAAAGTGAAAGCTTCCTTAATTTACGTTAAGAATCCAAGTTCTGTCTTCATCTTATCTTTTTCTCTTCTATATTTTATACTATTTGCTTTGATTCGGTTCCAAAAATCATTACAAAGTCTCTTTATCTTTTCTCTTCCTTTTCTGTCATCTTTGTTGAAGACTTGAAAACCATCACACACAATCAGAATGACTAATGTAAGAGCCAACCATTGATCATCTTTCTGTTTTCATCTATTTGCCAGAATCTGATCTGAGATATAGTTTTTCTCATGTTTCATCAGGTGGTGGAAGTGAAAGTTGGTTTGCACTGTGACGACTGTATTAAGAAAATTCTTAAAGCCATAAAAAAAATTCAAGGTGCTTTTCATTTTACTGCTTAAAAAACATGGACCGTTTATTGAAATGAAAACCTTGTATGTATGGCTATGCAGATATTGAAACGTATAACGTGGACACAAAGCTGAACAAGGTTATCGTTACCGGCGACGTCACAACAGAACAAGTTATCAGAGTTCTTCACAAAATTGGAAAGAATGCAACTCCCTTTCAAGATGATGCAATTTAGCCTCTCTAGTATATACAATCTTCCTTCTTTGCAAAAAACATCTTGTACTTTATATATATGCTTCAATAATCTATGAATGATTTGTCTGTAACTTATTGTGTTACTTATGCACATTTTTATTTATGTTACATAATAATATTAATTTATATTTATTAAACATTTTAAAACAGTTTTAAATTAATTAAAAATATTTGTTTACACAGTGCCTTACTTTTTTGTACAAAAATAGAGTTTGCAAGAGAGTGATTGGTTTCTATAATAAGAGAAGTTGAAGGTGAACCATGAAACATGTTATTTCCAAAATACAAGGAAAGCCTCTTATTCCTTCATCACTTTCATAATCTTTTCTCTTTCACTATCTTCTTCTTCTTCTCTAGGAAAAATATTGTTGAAACAATAAAGACAAGTTTCAATTGCTACAAGTTCATACATATATAATAAAAATGGATGTTATAAATTCTACAGTAGTATGCACACATCCTTCTAATAATTATCACGAGAGTGTGTGGAGGTTAGGAAACCCACTTGCTTCCCCCACTCCTCTTCTCTTTCTGCAGGTTTCACTTATTACTGTAGTCACACAACTCATGGATGCTTGTCTCAAACCATTAGGACAAACCTCCCTTGTATCTCAAATTCTCGTAAGCTTTTTATATTCTATCAATCATATAATTAGATAATCACATTCATCTGTGTCGGTGCTACACAGAATGCTACACCTTATTTGTTATAATGTTCTATGGTAATGTGATGCATTTTAGTTTAGGAATCATGTTAAAAAGAGGTTATATTTAACTAACATTCTTAATACCTGAATAGGGAGGATTGGTATTTGGTCCATCAATGTTGGGGCACAAAGAGATGGTGACACGCATCTTATTCCCTATGAAAGGTTCTCTAATACTTGACACAGTAGCAAGTTTCTTCCTCAATTTCTTCTACTTCATATGTTGTGTAAAGATAGATACTGGAACAATGCTGAAAACAGAAAAACAAGCCATGACAATTGGTATTTCTGTATTCGCATTTGCATTTGTAATCCCTCTTGGATTATCCTTTGCATTGACCAGTTTTGTTTCCATGGACAAAACCCTCGCCGCTGCTCTCCCATTAATAGCCATGTCGCAAAGCTTTACGGTATTCATCAGCATATCAGTCCTTCTAACAGAGCTTAAAATCCTAAACACCAATGTCGGCCGTCTAGCATTATCATCGGCGATGTTTACCGATGTTGTTAGTATCCCTACGATAACACTTATATTTGCAGTATTGCATGTTAAACATAGTAATAAGAGTATGCTGACACTACTATGGATCCTTCTATCCATAGGTGCACTTGTGGTTGTTATCATCTATGTAATAAGGCCGACTATAATATGGTATGTAGGCCGGTTAAATGGAAATCCGATCGACGAACTTTGCATTGTCTGTATCATTTTGTGTGTTCTCTTCACTTCATTTTGCAGTGAGTTCATTGGACAGCACTATGGTATGGGGCCAATAGTTTTAGGCTTGGTTGTTCCTGAAGGGCCGCCTTTAGGATCGACTTTGATTACGAAAATGGAAACGGTTTTTGTTGCCTTTTTGTATCCATTATACCTTGCTGTCAATGGATTGCAGACTGATATATTCAAAATCAGCTTTCAGGCTACTTGGATTATAACTGTGATAGTGATAGTTGGTTTTGTCGCAAAGATCATTGCTGTTATTTTGCCAGGTTATTATTACAATGTTCCCATGAAAGATTGTGTTCTGATTGGGCTAGTTCTCAATGGCAGAGGTATAGCTGAGCTCTCCATGTACAATTTAATGAAGAACGGCCAGGTAAATTGATACTTCATAATATTAAGTTCAATCCAAACTTGTATGATTTTGATTCTACAAAACATCTTTTTTATGGCAGCTACTAACAGGACAACTGTTCTCTTTGTTGGTGGTGACCCTTATAGTGATAAATGGTATCATAGCACCACTGGTAAAATTGACATATAATTCTTCAGTCGAGTATCATTCAGCAAAAAGAATTTCAATTCAACATATAAAGCGAGATTCCGAGCTCCGAATCATGGTATGCTTTAACAAGAATGAAAACATCCCAACAATGCTCAACATCATAGAAGCATCGTGTGCAAGCAGAGAGAGCAATGTTGAAGTTATAGCACTTCTCCTTGTAGAGCTTCTTGGAAGGTCAAGGCCTCTTCTTGTCGCTCACCAACCACATGACACGCTTCCGATAACCAATTGTGATTCAACTCAACTGGACAACGCATTGAAGCAATATGCACAGCTCAATGATGGGTGTGCACATGTTCAATCATTCACATCAATCTCCGACTTCGACACAATCCACGAGGACGTCTGTGGAATATCCTTCGACAGAAGAGCCAACATTTTGATCATGCCATTCCACAAAAGATGGGAGATAGATGGAACGGTTGAGGTAAAAAATAGAGGAATCCAAACAATAAACATTAAAGTCCTCGAAAGAGCGCCTTGTTCAGTCGGAATCCTCATAGACCGAGCTATCTTAAGCGGTTGTCCATCGCTTTTATTCGGCAAACCAACATACTATGTAGCAGTAATCTTCATTGGAGGTGCAGACGATGCTGAAGCACTAGCCTATGCTAGTAGAATGGCTAGGCACGAGCGTGTGAATGTAACAGTTATTAGGTTCCTTGTTTTTGGAGAAGAGAATTCAAAAGATAGAAAATATGAGACCGATCTTGTAGATGAATATAGAAATTATAACAATGGAAATAGCAGGTTTGAGATAAGTGAAGAAGTTGTGAGAGATGGAATAGAATTTTTTTCTAGTGTAAGAAGAATGGTAGATTGTTTTGATTTAGTTATGGTAGGGAGGTCACATCCACAATCAGTTTTGTTACATGGACATGAGCAATGGAATGAGTGTCCCGAGTTAGGTGTGGTTGGTGATATGTTGGCTTCACAGGATTTTGCGACAAAAGCATCAGTGTTGGTTGTGCAACAACAAAGAATGGGAGGGAAATTCATTAACCAACATGTTATGCCAAGTCAAAGAGATCAGCTTGTACATAACGTTCCAATGAATGAACCACCAATACCTTCTTGTACCATTTCAATGGATAAATAGTACAGAATGTAGATAGATCTATTTAATTAGTGCTAAGTTTTTAAATATTTTTTAGTTATCTCTATTGAGTTTCCTTAGAATTTTTTGTTTATAAAATACAAACTGATATTCTTACACGAGTCAATTCCATTCAACTCATGGATTAGGACAAGGAAAAGAATAACATTGATATATGACTATGACTAAACTTCTATAGTAAAACTTTTGAACAGTGATAAAAAATGATATGGATTCTCTACAGTCAAAAGCGATTGTGAATCATTAAATTTTTCAGAACACTAGATTTTCCCGAATGCATAATTGCATGAAAACTTCTGTTCGTATCTGGCGTAGCAGATACTGAAAGGTATAACTGGTAACATCACAACAGAACAAGTAATCAGAGTTCTTCACAAAGTTGAAAAGAATGCAACTGAAGATGCAGTTCAAACCCACCACAACTGAACTTTACAACTATTTAGTTTAGTTCCTTTAGTATTAAATCTTCTTTATTTTTTCAAATTAAAATATCAATATTGTACCATATATAAACATGGTAAGACTCAATAGTTAAATTGTAATTCTTGGTGTCGAAACTATGTGTGTGTTGTAGGGTACTAGTTGTCAAAACAGTTTGTTCAACAAAAACGAATGACCAGTCAAAGAATTTGTGTATCGAAGCAGACTACACATAGATTTGATTTAGTTTTAGATTTAGATTTGATCTAAAATAAATAGATTTGATTTAGTTCCAAAATAAATATTTTGGGCTTTTATAGTTTTGCGTTTTGGCTTATAGAGCAAGTTAACCTAAATCTATAAATAGAGGGAACAACTCCTATTTTTGTAATCAAGTCAATTAAGTTGTATTAACAGAATTTGCAGTTGCAAGTGAATAAAGTTTTCCACAGTTTGTGGATAGAGAGAAACTCTGTAGAAAATAATTGTTTTCTTTCTTTCTTTCATATAATTAATCGTTATTGTGTGGTGATAACAATCTTGTTCATCAAGATTGATGGTATCAGGAGCTCCGGTTGAGCGATCAAGGGAAGAAGAAGAAAACCAACGACGATGAATTATGCAAGTGAAAATTTCTCATCAAATCTTCCAATTCTTAAAGGTGATAACTATGAGAATTGGTGCAAACAAATGAAGGTTATATTCTGTTTTCAAGGTCTTATGGAACTTGTAAAATATGGTTTAGAACCATTTGATGAAGACGCTTCAGAAAAGGAAGAGGCGAAATACAAAGGATTGAAGAAGAAGAATTATAAAGCTCTCTTTATAATTCATCAATGTGTCAGCTCAGACAATTTCAAAAAGGGTAGTGATGTAGAATATAGAAAAGAAGTCTGGAAAATTCTGAAGAAATCGTTTGGAGGCGTTGAGAAGGTGAAAGATGTGAGGTTATAAACTCACAAAAGAACATATGAATTGCTTCAGATGGAAGATAGCGAAAACATATCTGATTTCTTCACTAGGGTTACAAAACTAGTGAATCAAATCAAGACTTGTGGAGAGACGTTAACAATAAGAGCAGTTGTTTTGAAGATCTTGAGATCTTTGGCTCTGAAATTCGATCATGTGGTAGTTTTCATAGAAGATTTGAAGGACATGTCAACTTTGTCGAAGGAAGAGCTTAAATGGACACTTGAATCTCATAAACAAAGAATGACTGGAAGATCTACAGACAAGTCAAAGAGTGATGTGACTTTGCAGATGCAACCAGCAAATGATAAGAAATACAAAGGAAAGTGGTTCGACAACAAAGGTAGAGGTGGCTACAACAATTTTACTGGTAGAGAAAACCAGCACTAAGAAAACATTTCGAATCAGAAAAGATCATACCAAGGCAACCAAAGAGGTGGTATTGCAAATAGAGAATGAGGTGGTGGTCAAAAGTATGACAAGAGCACATTCAGTGTTTCAATTCTCATAAGTATGGTCACTATTCTAGTGATTGTCCAAAAAAGTGAAAGAATCAAGAAAGGGATGCAAAGTTTGCAAAATATGAAGAAGATATGATGATGATGGTCACAATAAGAGATGAAGATAGATTCAATGACCAATGGTACTTGGATTCAGGATGTTCATCACACATGTTTGAAAGGAAAGATTGGTTTATCAACATAAAACCCTCGATGAAGAACACAGTGAAATTCTCAAATGACAATACACTAGAAGATGAAGGTATTGGTTATGTTATGATTATGAGAAAAGATGGCAAGAGATCAGTAATTTTCAGTGTGTTGTACATATCAGGCATGAAGAGCAATTTTCTTAATATAGGGCAGTTGGTTGAAAAAACTACAAAGTGCCGATCAAAGACAAGATGGTGAGAGTCGTCAACACAAATGGAAGCTTAATCTTGAAGGCTCCCATGTCTCAAAATAGAACCTTCAAGATTGAACTTAATTTGATGGAGCATAAGTGCCTTTCGACTGCAGCTAGAAGAGATGAATGAATATGGAATTATCGACTATGCCATCTCAACTTCAGAGACATCAGATATTTAAAGAGAAGAAATATGATTTCAGGATTTCCAGAAATCGACAATCCAAACGAGGTATGTGTGCAGGAAAAGCAACACAAGAATAGCTTCAGCAAGGATGCAGGAAGTAAGTCGAAGACTATTCTCGAAGTCATATACTCTAATGCATGTGAATTAATCCAGGTGGATTCATTCGGAGGTAATAAATACTTTGTCACGTTCATAGATGATTTCATTTAAAAACTGTGGACTTACCTGATCAAGAAGAAAAGTGAATTAATCTAGGTATTTGTCAAGTTTAAGTTTATGGTCGAAAGACAAAGTGGTCGAAAGCTCAAAGTTTTGAGAACTGATGGTGGTGGAGAGTATGTGTCAAAAGATTTTGAAAAGTTATGTGAAAAAAAGGGATTGTGCATGTGGTGGTGTCACCCTACACTCCACAGCAGAATGAAATTGCAGAAAGAAAGAATCGAACCATCATGAATATGGTGAGAAGTATGTTAAAAGACAAACATTTACCTAAATAGTTTTGGGGTGAAGCTGTGTCGACTACAACATACATATTGAACAAATGTCTGACGAAGAAGCTAGAAGGAATTACCCCAGAAGAATGTTGGTTTGGTGTGAAGTCTAGCTTGATTCATCTGAAGGTATTTGGATCTATATCATATAGACATGTGCCAGATTAATTGAGAAGAAAACTCGATGACAAGTCAAGTCAAATGATCCTAGTTGGATATCATTCGACGGAAGCTTACAAGTTGTTCGACCCAATGAACAAGTAGATTGTGATCAGCAGGGACGTGATCATAGATGAGATTAAAGAATGGGATTGGACTAAAAACGTCAAAAAAGATTCAGTGAGAATCCTACTTGAAGAACCAGAAGCTCAAGTCGAAAGAAAAGTTCGACAAGAGGAAGTTAGACAAGAGGAAGAAGTTAGAGATCAACCAAGTACAAGCATACCTCAAAGAACAAGACACATGCCTCCAAGGTTGCAAGATTGTGTGATTACATCAGATGATGTAGTTGATGATGAAGGTGAGCTGGTACATTATGCTTTCTATACAGATATCGAACCTGTCAATGCAATTGAAGCATTGAATAATTCGAAGTGGGTGAAAGTGATGAACGAAGAAGTGAAGTCCATCGAAGAAAACAACACTTGGTCACTTGTCGATTTTCCTCAAGGCAAGAACACAATTGATGTCAAGTGGGTATACAAAGTGAGGATGAATCCCAAAGGGTAAATAACTCAACACAAAGCAAGACTCGTGGCAAAATTATTTCTCCAGAAAGAAGGAATTGACTTCGATGAAGTATTTGCACCTGTGGCTAGGATCGAAACGATCAAGTTGGTTGTTGGTCTAGTAGAAATGAACAATTGGTACATATGTCAAATGGATATGAAGTGTGCATTCCTAAATGGAGCCTTAGACAAAGAAGTCTATGTTGCACAACTAGTTGAGTTTGTGAAGAATGGAAAAGAGAGAAAGGTGTACAAGCTTCATAAAGTCCTGTATGGTTTGAAGTAAGATCTAAGAGCTTAGAATAAAAATATTGATAGTTTTCTAAGGGATAATGAATTTATGAAGTGCACAACTGAACATGGAGTATATGTAAGAAGAAGTAATGGTTAATTACTTTTACTATGTCTTTATGTTGATGACTTGTTAATAACAAGTAGTTCCAAGAAGGAGATCAAAGACTTCAAAGGTGTTCTCAGCAAGTAATTTGAAATGTCTGATCTGAGTGACATTTCATATTTCCTTGGCATCTAATTCTAAAAGAGTAGTAGAGGTTTGATGATGAATCAAAGAAGATATGCAGGAGAAATTCACCAGAGATTTGAGATGAAAGAATGCAACTCGACTTCGACACTTACAGAACCAAGACTTCAACTTTTGAAAGATGCAGATAAAGATGATGTCAACCTAACCTAATACAGAAGATTTATTGGGTCATCAAGATACCTTTGTCACACAAGGCCTGACTTGAAATACAGTGTAGGTATGGTAAGTAGATTCATGCAGAAGCCAAAGGTATCACATCTAGTAGTGGCGAAGAGGATACTGAAGTATCTCAAAGGGACTCTAGACTATGGCATTTTTTTTCTTGCAGCTGATAAAGGAAAAGAATGCAAGTTAATGGGATACACTGATTTGAGTTGGTGTAGTGATGATGAGGATCGAAAATCCACATCAAGATATATGTTTATGCTAGGTGGTGCACCAATTTCTTGGAGTTTGAGAAAGGAACCAGTAGTAGCATTATCATCATGCGAAGAAGAATACATAGCTGCTTCTCTTTTTACATGTCAAGCAACTTGGATGGTGAACCTGGTCGAAGAGATTGCAGGTAACGATCATGGAGAAATTACCATGAAGATCGACAACATGTCAACTATCAATCTTGAGAAGAACTCGATAGCTCACGGTCGAAGCAAGCACATAAAAATGAGGTTCCACTATCTTCGATAGCAGGTAATAGATGGGAAGATGAACTTGGAACACTGCATAATTGAGAATCA